CACCAACCACTTCTCTATTCTGTTTCTACGATTACACTGGTTTTTTTAAGATTCTTCGTACAAGTGACGCCTGCAGTGCTTGTCTCTACCTGGCTTCTTTCACTTCGCATAGCGCCCTCCGGGTTCATCCATTTAGTTGCACGTGGCAAGATTTCCCCCTTTTTAGGGAGAGGAGGTAGCTCAGTGGTAGTGCCTGCCCAGCACGCACAAGGTCCTGGGTCCAATCCCCAGCGCCTCCACTCAAAAAATAAACCTAGTTACCTCTCCCCCTAAAAAACAAAGCCTTCCTTCTTTTTAAAGCCTGGGTATCATTCCGTCGAGTACACACACCGCATCCTCCTCACCCTTCCAGCCGTCAGTGCTCCCTCAGGAGGCTCCCTTGTCCTGGTTACAGTGAGCCACGCTGCAGGGCACAGGCACACCGCTTCAAGTGCCTGCCTTCCTTCCCTCTGGATAAACACCCAGAAGCGGACGGCCCGAGGAGCCTACGTGACCGTCAGTTGACACTCCCGCCCCCACGCGCACTTGCTACCGCCTGGCAGGTGCGAGGCGGTCTCTCACTGCGGTTTGGATCCACGCTTCCCTGACCGCTGCTGCCAAACATCTTTCGCGCCTCTGTTGGCTGTTTGTAGGTCTCCTCTGAGAAGAACGTCGACTTAGCTCCTCTGCCCTTTTTTTTAAAAAAAAGTCAGATCGTTTTGTTAACGAGTTGTGTGAATCCTTTACATGTCCTGGGTATCAGCCCCCGAGACACAGTTTGCACAGACTTTCTCCCCTTCCGCACGGTGTCTTTTCATCTTGTGCCCTTTGCCGTGCGGAACTTTCATAGCTTGATGTAGTCCCACTTGCTCATTTTTGCTTTGGGTGTCAAATCCAACAGATGGTCAACGTCAAGGAGCTAACCACCTTCGTTTTCTTCCAGCAGTTCTGTGTTTCAAGTCTTGCATTCACGTCTTTAATCCACTTTGAGCTGATTTCCGATTGCGGCGTCAGATAGTGGCCCAGCTTCCCCAACACCATTTCCTGAAGAAACTGTCCTTCCCCCCAGTGTATATTCTTGGCTCCTCTGTTGTAAATTAATTAACCATATATGGGGTTTCATTCTGGACTCTGTTCTGTTCCACTGATCTGTGTGCTTGCTTTTCCAGGAACATACTATTTTGATTATTGTAGCTTTTGGAACATGCTTTGAAATCGAGGCACATGATGCCTACAGCTTTGCTCTTTTTCTCAAGGCTGTTTAGGCTATTCAGGGTCTTCTGTGGTTCCACACGAGCTTTAGAACCGTTTTTTTCTATTTCTATGGAAAATGCCACTGGAATTTTGACAGCGATTGCCTGGAACCCGTACAGTGTCGACCTTTTAACAATACTTATTCTTCCAGTCCACAGGCATTCAACAGGTTTTTACATGCCTTATAGTTTCCAGTGTACGAATCTTTCACCTCCTTGGTGAAATGTATCGCTAAGTGTTCGTCAAGAGGCACTGCCCGCCCGAGCAGGGCTATTCCTTGGTTTCTTCTTATTTCATTTTACTTGAGAAAAGCTCCCCCTCTTCAATGTCCGGTCACCCTGAGGCTCAGTTTGCACAGGAGACACGGCGTGAAGAGTCGTGTCTATTTATTTACCGGTTTGTACAACTGTGAGCTGGTTCCCTACCATCTTCCAGGGTTGACCGGTAAGCTTTTTTTCCGTATCACCGTGAGCCCAGGATTTTAACACGTTTCCTGTGCTTTGATCCAGCGTGGCCACGACCACTTTTGCTGCTCTGACTGCCCCACGGCGGGCCGGCGAGGGCCTCCTCCAGTGGCACGATCTCACTAGTCCTTAGTGACTCGCCCCTGGGATCAAAGGATGCCCCCGGGTCAGTCTTCGCCCCGGACCTGCCCCAGTCCTGCACTCCAGGGGTCACAGGCTCGTTTTAACGAGGGTTTCGTAAAGTGGACATTGGAAGCCCCGCCCTGGGTCTGGGGTGCCCTGAGGTGGGCCTCTCAGCGATGAGGATCCCCCTTCTGCTTCTTTCAGGGAGAATACGTCACGAGTTCACTGATGTTTCCGATCCGTACTTCGCATTAAGTCTAAACTTAACCTCTCTGATTTGTAATTAGAAGCCTTCCTTCTCCTCTTGTTGGCTGAAGTCTTGCTCCCGTTGACTTTAACACACGACTGTTTGCTCTGAACCGTGCAGTCTGAGAATAGCCAGCAAACTCAGTTTCCAGTGGGGGGCTGACTGAATGCAGGTTAAGGTTTTCTTTGCTGAGGGCTTAGGTTCTGTTTCCAGGTCCTTGAACGGAGTCCCCGTGTGTGTGGTTGCTGCACGGACTTGAGACACACCAGGTTTTTTTGCTTCACTTGCTTTCAAAGTTTTACTTTTTATTTTGTTTTTTATTTGGGGGGAAATAGGTTCATTTATTTGCCCACGTTTGGAGGGAGCACTGGGACCGGACCCAGGACCCTGGGCGCGCTAGGCACGCGCTCGGCCACTTGAGCTATGCCCTCCCCCCACCCCCGCTTTACATAACAATGTAAAGCACTTACAGGGTTCCAAAGTCAAACATGCAAACTACGGTGTATCCCGAAGTCCGTCTGTCTCCATCCTGCTCCTTCACTCTTCCTGAAAGTAACTTTTTTGTTTGCTGGTTTATTGGTTAAAGACTTGTACACGTTCACACGCACACACATACGTGTAAGTTTATGCACGTGTGTGAAGATACATTTGCATTTCCTCCTTCAGACAAAACTGTGGACTGTTACACATACTTCTCTCCGTAGCTGAGCTCTTCCGTAGCAGGAGGGAGAGTCCTCACTTTTCACGGCTACGTGGTATTCCCTTAGGTGCATCACCCAGGCTCCTACTGATGGACATTCAGGTTACTCCCAAACTGTTCCTGTTATAAACGGTGCCATGCTGATTAGGGCATGTGACGTCTCTGGGATGTGTTCCAGGAGCGGGGCTGCTGCTCAAAGTGGAGATGCATGTGCCATCTTGTTAGGTTGTCAGATGCCCCTCCAGAGGCTGTGAAACATTTCATATTCCCACCGACTCCCAGTCCACGAAGGGCCTGGCCCCCCGCAGCCGGGTAACGGTGCCCGTCGACCGATGTAGGTGGTGGTCGGTCTAAGTGACAAGGACCACCTCGGTCCAGTTCCGATTTGCAGCCCTCTCACGACGAGCTGGACCAAGCACTCTTCCTGCAGTCCAGGGCCAGCTGCAGGCACCCCGTGAAGCAGCGCGTCTCCTGGTCCTTTCCATGCACGTGGTCGGTCCTTTGCTTCTTAGTTTTGAGGCTCTTTGTCCATCACGAATGTGTGATTTAGGGACAGTTGCCCTTTCTTCGTTTGTAAGCGGCTGCACCTTTCCAGTTTGTCATTTCTCTGCTCACCTTGCTCACGCTCTTACTTTCTGCCACATAAACGCTTCACGTTGCTAAGTTTATCAGCCGTCCCCTTAAAGCTTCTGAATCCTGGGTCGCCGTGGGGAGAGGCCCCCCACGCCTCGGTTTCAGAGCAGCTGGCTCTTGTCTTCTCTGGGGGCCTGTACGGCTTCACTTCTCACGCTGAGATTGGACCCGTCTGGACGTCCTCCGGGCGTGCGTACGATGCCATCGCTCCCCACGTGGCTCGCGGGCCAGCCGGTGCTCGACGTCCACCCCTCCCTCGATGGGCTGACATGGCGTGTCTGTGCCGCGTCCACGGCACCCAGACGAATTTCTGGATCTTCCTTCCCATCGCCCTGGCCTGCCCACCCACTCCCGGGTCGGCAGCACACCTCACAACCGCAGAGCTTCTGTAACACAGGTCACTCTCTCGGTGGGACCAGCCTTCCTGTCTTCCCAGTGTTTTCCTGGCTGTTCTCGCCTGGTCTTCCAAATGAACTTCATAATCAGTTTCTCTGGATCCAGAAAAACCCTGGTGGCGTTTGCACGGGGACCGCTGTGAATTTACAGGTTTCCTCAGGGAGGCGCTCTCTCCGCAGCGCAGAGTCTCCCTGACCGAAAACACCGAGCGTCTCCCGTTTGCTCGAGTCTGCTTCTGTGTCTTTCAGGAGTGTCCCACGAGTCTCCTGCGCACGCGTGGGGAACCTCTCGTGCTTCATGCCTAGGTGTGTTGTCACACTTTTTTTTGCTTGCCTAAATATGCCTTCTCACATAATGTCTTTTATCTTGCTTTGGTTTGCACAGATAAAGGTTATCAGCTTTGGGGGGAAGGGCATAGCTCAGCGGTAGAGCACATGCTGAGCATGCACGAGGTCCTGGCTTCCATCCCTGGTGCCTCCGTGAAAAAATGAAACAAGGTTTAAAAATAAAACTCCTGGGAGAAAACACAGGCAGTAGGCCCCGTGATCCCAGCCTCAGCGACGTCTCGCTGCGCTTTCTCCACTCCGTGCTTTTCGCTCCTTTTTCAAGTATCTGCTGTCATGTACCCATGGATTTATTTCTGTGCTCTCAGTCAGTTCCATCCACCTCTGCGTCTGTTTTCCTGCCGGTGCCGCGCCGTCTCGATCGGTCCCCGGATAAGAATACTTGCTCCTCGATGTTTCCCAACATGAAAGGCATCAGCCAACTTGTGAACTTGGGAAGACAAAGACCGCGGGCCTCCTCTCCACACCTGGCGACCCAGCGGGCGGGGCAGCACGGGCGTGAGGGCCTGGACCCGGGAACCGGGCTGCCCGGCTCTGAGTCCCGCTCGGCACCGACGGGCCGGCTGTCCCTCTCGCTCTGCCCTGGTTGCCTCACCTCACGCGGATGATGACAGCAGCTGCGCTGCAGGGCCGCCGTCAGGACGCCTGGCCTAAAGCGCACGGAGCGCCTGGGGCAGCGCCTGGCCCCCTGCGTTCTTTTTCGTTCTTTAGTTTTATCTAATTTTGCATCCGTAACACATTCACATGGTTCAAAATTGTACCCAAAACATAGACAGTGAAAAGTGCCCCTCCCTCCGTTTCAGTTACCCATTTTTTTCTAACCAGAAGCAACCAACGAGAACTGTCTCCCACAGAGCCTTCCATAGATAGAACACACACACGCACCCACGCACTCACACGTGAGCCCCCTTCAACAGAAACGGTGGCACCTGCGCGCTGCGTTCTGCACGCTGCTTTCTCAGTAGGTGCTGGTTCCTATAAAGTTCTGGTGTCTTCACTGGGCCAGCAGTCATCAATTTCCCGAGCGTCCAGGAGAGTTCTGCCGGCCTCGTCAGTCAGAAACTGAATCTCATTGCTGTGTTCACCTCATTAACATCTTAATCGACACCCTCCCGACGTGCGTGTGCACACACTCATGCACACACACGCACGCTCACATCCCCCACCTCTTCCTCCTACCTTCCCACCAGACGCCAGAGCACCAGCTGCAGGTGAGCGGAGGGAGAGAGGAAACCCTGAGGGCTAGGATTCGCTGAGGTCAAGCCTGTCCGTCACGGGGCCTCGACCTCACCTGCTGGAAACGGGCCCTCCTCTGCTGCACCGCTCTCTCCAGGGCACTTTGGCTAACGGGCTGTCACAGCTGGAGCCACCCAGAGGGGTTCTTGGAACAGCTGCTGCGGTGTGGGGTGGGGAATTTGGACCTGTGCCCGGTGGACGCTGTGCCAAGCCCTTGCCTGCTGGGGCCATGAAGGTCGCCGTCACCCCCACATCTTCCCACCCTCATCTCAAGCCAGAGGACGCGGCCCGGCGGTGGGAGGGGCCCCCGGGCGGGACGTACTCAGAGATGTTGAGGGCCAGCGCCGTCCAGTAGGCCTCCATGGGCGCTGTCACCACCGCATCAAACAGCACCTCCTGCAGCAGCTCCTCATCACCTGGGGCAAGACGTGGAGGCCGGCTGTCCTCCCTGAGCCATCTGAGTTCCACAGACAGGACCCCCCACCCCCGCCCAGCCCCTGCCCCCGCAAGTTCCGAGCTCAGGCCCGGAGGGAAACTCACACTCCAGGGCCAGGTCCTGCCCGGTCAGGAAGCGGACCACAGCCTCCAGCTGGCTGAGCTTCCGGTGGTCGGGGTCGATGTCCGTGACGCAGTAGATCCTGGAACCCAGCGGAGCCCCATCACTCAGAGTATCACCCCCGGCCGCTCCCCGCCCCGCCAGCGCCCTGCCCCGCTCACCAGTCACCCGCCAGGCTCAGGTCCGGGTGGAGCAGGTCGTGCAGGCCTGAAACCAGAGTCCATGCTCGGTCAGTGCTCACCCACTGCTGAAGATGGGCCCCCGAGCCGTGGTCCTGAGTCAGAGCAGGAGCTCAAGCCACAGGTGGGTGTCTCCTGGAGCGCCTCCCTTCCTGCTGCCCGCATCTGAGGTCTGAGCCCCACCAGCCAGGACCGGCCTCAGCAGAGACTTTGGCCTCACTGGCTTCATCGTACCCACTGACCACAGGGCCACGCGCAGCTGTGTAAGCTCCACAGCCACGTGCTCAGCACGTGTTTGTCGACTGCGTGAACAAACGCCCTCCTGCGCACCCATCAGGACTCAAAGATAAGCAGGTGCTCAATTAAGGTTTGACAATTGGAGGAAAGGGGGCTGGGAGTGCCAAGGCCGCGTGGAGGCACCGCACGTGGTGCTGGATGCACAGAGACTCAGGCAGGTAGCTCAGAGGGCGCCCCTTCCCCTCAGGAAGCCCGGCGAGTCCGGGGTCCTGAGCCCCTGGACCACAGGTGGGCCTCACCTGGAGGAGGGTTAGGGAGGCCCCCTGCCCCTGCGGTGGTGGCGCCCGGGCACAACTGGGAAGGGGAGAAAACGCACAGGAAGGAGAAGGCCCAGGGAGCTCAGCTGCTGGGGCAATGGAGGGCAGCGCTCCGGCAGCATGGACATGGGGCATGGAGGGTGAAGGCAGGGCCACGCGGGAGCAGGCCGCCAGGGAGACGGGGCTCCCTCAGATGCATCCAGATGGACTGGGCTGGGCAGCAGAGGTGAGCATTTCCAGGGGGAGCATGCACGGGGCAGACCCTGACGCTGAGTGCCAGGACAAGGAGGAGGTGTGGGAGGCCATGGAAGGCGCAGTGAGGATTTCCAGAAAGATCCCTCCACAGAAGGTGAGAGCAAGGAGGACCAGCTGGCAGGTCTCAGCCTCCACTGACCAGCAGGTGCTGCAGGCCCTGGGTACCCGGGGCACACAGACCCCTGCGGGCCGTGTGCCCTGCCCCAGGAGTCTGTCCGACCGGCCCACCCAGTGTCCCAGGGGAACCCAGTTTCCCCAGCTGCCCACCAGCTGACCCACCTTCTTCCACAGACGTGTTTCCCAGGAGAATGTACTCCCCGTGGCCGCGGGACAGCACCACTCCCAGACTGCGGGCAGAGCAGGGGGCGGCTCTCACCAGCAGCGCCTGCCCGCCGCTGCCGGCCGCTTCCTCCCCGTGCCCAGGGCAGTGCGCCCCGGCCCTCCCGCCTGCTCCCAGGGTCCCTTCCAAGCTGACACAGCACCGCGTCTTGTCACGGGCCTTCTTCCTGAGAAGGAAGCCACAGGCCAACCCCCTCCGCTTCCGGCGTAGTCAGATTCGCCCTGGACCTCTCAGGGCCCTAGGGAAGGGAAAGCTCTCTCCCTCCGGGAAGAATGTGGCTGCCAACCCCTTGGCTGGATGTGGGCAACACCGAGGGCGCGCTGAAGGCACTGGTGCCTGGGCGCCTCTCCAGGGTCCTGAGTGACCCCCAACAAGGGCCTGGGGCCAGGAGTTCTACAGTGACCTGCAGGCGCTCCAGTCAGCAGTCAGGGCAGGGAGCCGCCCTTCACTGAGAAATGAGGAGCTTCAGAGAGAAGGGCCATTTGCCCCCAGTTTGCAGGCTGCTGAAGCTGAGTATTTGTAAGTCAGAGGGGACCTGAGAGATCTTCATGTTAGATCTTCCATCTTACAATGCATGGCTTTAAAATCTCTGAGTAGAATATGTCATTTCACCCTCCCAATAGCGCCAAGAAGCAGCCATTATGACGCCCATTTTACAGATGAGGACCGTAAGGCACAGAGAGGTTAAGTAACTTGCCTAAGGTCACACAGCCTGGAAGTGGTAGAGTTAAGATTCCAACCCAGTTAGTTTAGCTTCAGACCCAGCACACTAGGCCACACTGAACATCAGGCTACACTGGCAAAGCCGGTGCAGACCTCAAGTTTCCTGAATGCAAACCTGAGTCTTTTTCTGTTACCACAAAATTGCCAACTGCCTAAGAGTCAATCCCCCAGACGTGAAAGTCCCACCTGCACTGCTGACATTCCCGTTCCATCCTCACCTCCCCCGAAGGTGAGGCCTGGGCCCCTCACCTGAAAGGCGTGTCACTGATGTCCGTGAAGAAGTAGTCGTTGGTCAGGAAAAGGACTCGCTTCTGAAAGAGACACCAGGAAAGGGTGCCTGCTGGGGAGAGGGTCTCCAACCATCACCTCCCTCCCCATCTGACACCTGGTGCGCTCCCCCCTTACCCACCACCTGCCGCCCACACGCCTCCTCTCGGTGACGCCCCAGGCAGAGCCACCACCCGCCAGCACACAGCAGCCCTTGGGGTTGCCCGACTGAAAGGCCACGCCCCAGACCCACGCCGTCCCATTCGGGGCCACCAGCCTCTGACGTGTGACTCAGGAACGGAAGTTTCAAGTTTTAGTTAATGGCAGTTAACAGAGACTGAAATCTAGAGAGTCTGGGTGGCTGATGGCCACAGTGCCGGGCAGCGAGGTGCGGGCCGTGACTGAGGTCCAGGTGGGCCCGCGGGAGACTGCCGCTGGAGCGCACACCTGCACAACCCACCTTCCCCTCCCTCGCTCTGGAGCACAGACCCCTGCAGGGCCACCTGCCCATTACGACTCTGTTTCCTTTCAAAGCTGCCGTGAATTTTCAGGTTTCAGTTGGATTCACACCAGTCAGGGCAGCCAGGGCTGCGCTCAGTGGCCAAGTGCACACGCACAGACAGACCTGGGTCGAGGCCCCGCCGGCCACTTCCAGGCTGCATGCTCTTGGGTACATGGCTCCACCCTCCTGGGCATCGCAGCTCTTGTCTGCACGTCAGGAGTAACAAGCACATCCCCGCACGGGTTGCTGGTGGCGGGAGTGTGTTTTAGCGGGTGGGTGCCCACGGGAAGAGCAGGGTTTGCTCTGGGCTCTGGCGTCCTGTGGGCTGTGCTGTCCCCAGACGCGGTGGCCGCCTTTGGGAAAGAAAGCCAGGCGTTGCACTTGGCTCGGGAGCTGTCTCATCCCCTTCATTTCTTTTCTGACTTTCCTTCTTCACTTTGGAAAGTGGAATAAGATGCTAAGCAGGACGCAGGGGGAGGGGCTGGCAAAAAAGGTTTGTTTCTATTGGAAACCAGGTGTGGTCCAAACCAGAAACAACAGCCCCCAGCAGGGCTGCACCCCCGGGTGCCCTCCCGCCCCCTCTGCTTCAGGCAGATCCTCCGTCTCGGCCCTGGGAGCCTCTGGGGGGCGGCCGGGGGCCAGCACGGGCAGGGACGGGCTGGGGAGCCCTGTGCTCCAGGTGGGGCTGGCTTGAGTTTGGAACTACAGAGCATCTTTGAAATTTTTCTTTCTCTCTCTTTTTTAATTGAAGAAAAAAGCGAAATGCACACATCTAACTGTATCATTCCATCAGTTTGGGTAAGTGTATGGTGACAAATTACACGTGGGTCTGATGTGCGTGTGCAGCCGTGGAGCTGCCCCTCCGCCGCGGAGACGGATGATCGCACCCTCCGGATGAGCCCCCTGGCCTCCTGTGGGCGCTCGGTTCTGAACTCGCCAGCAGACGAGGGTGCCTGTTCCCACAGCGCGTGCCCCTTTGTTTCTGGATTCTTCCGCTGCACGTCACATCTCTGAGACCCGTCCGCGCGGCTGAGCGCGTGAGGAGTGTGTTCCTTTCCACGGCCAGGCAGTAAGCACCCGGGCGGACGCGCCGCGGTTTGCGGGCACGCTCCCCGGGGGCAGGCACCTCCCAGTTTGGGGCTTTTATGAATAAACTGCTGTCAACATTCTTCCCGTGGATGTGAGCTTTCATCTCTCTCGGCAAGAACCTGGGACCGGTCTGCGGGGCCATGCGGTTAACTGTGTTTGCCTGTACAAGTCACTGCCGATGCCCCCAAGTTATTTTATTTTACTTCCAGCAACACGAGTTCCAGTTTCTCCACGTCCGCGCCAGAACCTGGTGCTACCGGTCTTTTCAGCCGCGGCTGGCGGTGGGAAGTGGAAGCTGGTGCAGGTTTCGTCTGCATTTCCTTGGTGACTAAGGCTGCTGGGCGCCGCTTCCTGTGCTTGTTGGTCGTGTCTGTTTCTTCGCTTGCGATGCGTCTGCGCAGGCATTTTGCCCGTTTGTCATCGGGTTGTTGGCCTCTTTGCTAATGACTTGCAGACGTTCTTTACATTCTGGACAGGTCTACGCCCTGCTTGTCCATCTTCTTAATTGTGGCTTTTGATGAGCAGAACTGTTTCCTTTTGATGAAGTTCAATTTATCAAATTCTATTTTATGTTTAGTGCTTTTGGTGTTTGGTCTAAGAAATCTTGGCGCAACCTCAGGTTGTGAAGATTTTCACCTACATCTTGTAGAAGCCAACAGTTTTAGCTTTCACCTTGGGAGCTATGGTAACTCTGAAATTAATTTTCGTGTATGGTGTGAGATATGGCTTAATGTTCATTTTTTCACTCATTCCTTCAGCTGTTCGAGCACCACTTGCTGAAAAGACTCTCCTTTCTCCACTGGTTTGCCCGGCTGTCTTTACGAAGAGCCCACGGACGCGGAGCTTGCTTCCGGCTCCTCTGTTCCCCGCCAGTGACCCATCTGCGCGTCTGTATGTCGGTATCACCCTGCTTGGTCACTGCAGCCTCGCAGTAAGGTTTGAAATCAGGCAGTGTGAATCTTCCAGGTTGGTTTTTCTTTTTCAAGATAGTTTTGGCCATTTTAGGTCCTTTGCATATTCATATAAATTTTAGAACCACCTTCTTCTATGTCTAGAAGAAGTCTGCGCAAGTTCTGCTTGGGACAGTGCTGGATCCGTAGATCAATCTGGGGAGAACGGACCACTTAGAATGTCGATCTTACGACCTATAAACACGGCTATATCTTTCCATTCAAGTTTTTTCTTTGACGCTCTTTCTGCAGCGTTATGTAGTTTCAGTGCAGAGGTCTTGTATGTCTTTGTTAAATTTACTCCTAAATATTTTATATTGCTTCATGCTATTGAAATCGGAACTTGAAAATATTTTTATTTTCCAAATGTTTGCTCCTGTATATAAAAACACGATTGATTTTTTTTTTAAATGGAGGTACCGGGGATTGAACCCAGGGCCTCGAGCGTGTTAGACACATGCTCTACCCCTGAGCTGTGCCCTCCCCCGAAGCTGACCTTTGTAACGCTGACTGTGCGCTCCGTGAACCTGCCACCTTCGCTCGTTGGTTCTAGCAGCTGTTTTGCTGATTCTTGAGATTTTCCTATGTAAACAGTCATCTTGCTGTGAATGAAGACAGTCTTGCTTCTTCCTTCCTAATTTTTGTGCCTTTTATTTTGCTTCCTTGCCTTACGGCAAAGGTGGGTCCTTGCGAGGTCCAGTGCCGTGGTGAACAGCTGTGACAGAACCAGACCCCCTACCTTGGGGGGGGGGGGGGGGGGGGGAAGTTCCCTCTGTTCCCGGTTACGTCTCGTCAAACGCTCTTCCGCATCTGTCGGGACGACCACGTGGCGTTCTGCCTTCATCTGTCCACGTAACGGGATAACTGACCCCACGTGTGGCTGCCCCGTGCCTCCCACCTCCCACAGGGCAACCCCCACCATCCAGCGTCAACATTGTTGCTTAAATACTCGGCTGTCTTTTTGAGAAGTTAAATGAATAAGGTTTTATCTCAACCCACATGTTTACCATTTCCAGCGCTGTTCATTTCCTTGCGTTGCTCTGGGTTCCCATCTGTGTCATTTCTCTGCTGCCTGGCGAACTTCCTTGAGCATTTCTCGCAGTGACAAGCTCTGCTCTGTTTCATCTTAAACTGTCTTCATTTCGCCTCTTTGGGGAAGGACGGCTTCTCTCTTTGTACTTTCTCTCTTCATTTGCGTTGACAATTTTTCTCTTCCGGCATTTGAAAATGATCATGTTCTTGGCTTTGACGAGAACTCGGCCATCATTCTTATTACTGTTTCCTTCCACTATTGCTTTTGCTTTTTAGAAAGATTGTCCCTTAACTCCGGTTCACAGCAGGTGGACCACGGCGTGCTTAAGCGCAGGCTTTGTTTTTCATCCTGCTTGGGTTTGCTGAGAATCTTGCGTCTACTGGGTTTTGTTTTTCACTAAATTCTGGACATTTGGGGCATTGTTTTTCGAATACGTCCCTCTGTTTCGTCCCTTCTCCTTCCAAAGAATTCTTCACCAGCTCCCACTACTTCATTAGGTCTCCCCGCTTGGATTAAAGCTCTATTCACATCACTTGTTGTGGTTCTACGTCTTTAATCAAACCCTGCTTCTCTGCTGAGATCCCCCATCTGTTCATTTATGATGACCATCTTCTCCTTTAGTCCTCTGTGCATGTTTATCAAGTCCACTTTAAAGCCTTTCTTCTACCCAACAGCTAGGTCATCTCTAGGTCATTTATAAGACTGCTGTTTCTCTTAACTGTGTGTCAAGAAAGGAAACATAATCCTGTTTCAGTTCAGACTGCCTGGCTCTGGTTAGCACCATCCCTTGGTGGCTCGGAGAAGGTGACAGCAGTGGGAGAACACGGACTGGGAGGGAAGGAGGGACGACCAGCCACACCCCTCAAGAGCTGGCTGGGTGAGGTCCTGGCAGCACTGGGTCTGCCCTGGAGCTGCCCTCCGCCCAGTGTGTGGCACTTCCATCACAGCCTGGCAGCTCGGGGCCAGATGAGAGCTTCCCGGGGCATGTGAGGGGCATTTATCCAATTGGGATAAAGGCAGAGACACGTGGGAGAAACCTCTGCTCTTTTGGAGGATGAGAAGGAACAGCTGGGACCAGGGGCCTGACATCACTGATGCTGCGCACCCGCCTGACGGAGGCCCCTCTCGGCCCAGAGCTTGCGGCAAGCAGGCGGACGCCTCAGAAAGGAGTCAGGTCCCACTGAGAACCAGCCTTTCCTTCCCAGGGCCTTCTTGCTTGGCCTCCACGGAGGGCTGTGTCTGTGGAGGAACCTGGGTCTGGTTGTTGCCGACAGATGGCTGCAGACGGGCAGCGGGAGGGGGCGGTGGGGGTGACTGTGAGGGCGGAGGTGACATCTGTAAATATTTCAAGGACAATGCAGAGTCAGTGCAGACGCAGTGGAGCCTTTCAGAGAAGAGGAAACGCTTCTTCTCAACGGCGGGGGGTCTGGGGAGACAGCATGGCGCCGGAGGGCGCACCCGTGCCTGGGTATCTGTGGTTCCCGCGGGTGAAAGTCAGCCGCAAGGAGCAGCAGTTGTTTTCAGACTCTTCCTACACAACGCGTTTTTACAGAAGCTGCTAACAGTTTGCAAAGCTGACTCCCTTTTCCCCATAAACCACACAGGGCCAAGCAGCAAGGCAGCCTCCAGGAGAACGGAGAGCTGTCAAGACTGGGGTGTCCGGCTGCCTCGCGCAGCGGCCCTGAGAGCCCGGCGTTGGCGAGGACAGCCCCTCCGGCCGGCGTCCCTCTGGGGCTGACACCCGGGAGCCGCGCCCCCTCTCAGGCCCCCCGGGCTCCAGCCAGCACTCAGGTCGCAAGCTCTAATTCCGCCCAGCCCCTCGTCACTACGCCACGCCACGCCTCGGCTGACCACGATGCTGCTTCCTGGGACCAGACCCCAGATCCTTTCGGTGAGCGCCTTACCCCTCTGTCCAGCGGAACCTTCACGTCCATGGAGAGGGAGCCCGTTTCCCTGTTGATCATGGCTGTTCTCAGCTGCAGGAGGAAAGACAACACCACCAGTCCCTCGCGCACGGGGCGGCGGAGGCCCGCGCCCCGGACTGGGGTGACCCGGGAACTCTCTCGGTTCTCCTCCAGCTCCTCGGAGTAGAGCACTGAGGGGAAGCTGATCTGACCCCAGCTTCCCTTTAGCTGGAGTTCTGGAATTCGCCGAGCTATTGCTCCCAGGGGGCTGACACAGGAGAGCGCTCCCCTGAGACATCACGTCCTCCTGGCTGAGCTCCTGAGCCGCGAGCGCCTGAAACGCGGCTGGAACTCACAGTCCGTGGCGCAGACGTGAGCCCCTTCGGCCTCCAAGGAAGACACTGTCATCCCTTCACACCCGCTGGGAGAACCTCCCGCCAGAGCCCTGCTCCCGCTCCGGGCTTGCAGAGGCTCCGCTGGGCGGTCGGGGGACCTCACAGCCTGCGGCCCCGGGGCCCACCGCCCGGCCCAGCCCCCCCGCCACACCCACTCACCATCCCGGCCCGGTCCTCCCACTCCACCTCCGAGAGGTCCACGCTGTTGTAGTTGGGTTTGGGCTTCAGTTTCTTCCCCTCCCTGTACTGAGGGCGCCGGCCCGGAGGAGAAACACAGGGCCAACATGAGGCCCCGCCCAGGTCCCAGCCCTTCCCTGAAGCCTGTCGGGGAAGCTCGTAAAGCCAGGGAATCTGGGTGACTGCTCAGCGGAGTCTGGGCCCCTTTCCACCCAAGGCAGAGCATCCCGGCTGACATTCGTGACAGAGGGTCTCCTGGCCTTCGAGGGGCTTGTCCCTGGTCTGGACAGCATGACCAGGAAAGAGCTCTTCCTCGTCCAGAGCTGGACTCCGTCTCCCCGTGACCTGCACCCAAGGGTCCTAGTTCTCTCCCGCGAGCCGCCCAGACATCTCCCACCCGGTAACCCTGGAGACTGTCGAAGGAGCTTGTCACTCCCGGGACTTCCCTTCTCCGAGCTACACGTTCCCCGTTCGCAGGGGCCGCAGCCCCCTTTGAACACGCTCTGCTCTGTCCACGTCACTCTCTAAAGGGAGTGCCCAGGACAAGTCAGTATGTCAGATGGGGTCTGCCCAGTGTGTGACCTGTGTGGCCCTGCCTCGGCCTCCGCCACCTTCCTGGACGGCTCAAACCGGGTTTGCAGCCGATTAAATGCCCTCGACCTTCCCCGTGAAGCCCCGTCACATTCCAGCCCCGCAGCCCCGTGCTCGAGCACCGAGTGCCCCGCGGGCAGCTCCACGCGTCCCTCGTACATTCCGCCCTGCTCGCCTGCGCCCGTGGCTTTAGAGGAAAGGCTTCTGAACACGCGCTTCCTCGCTTCGGGTATTAGCCCCGGCTTCCAGCCTTCGTGGCATCTGCCTTCTGTTTCCATATTGCTGACAGAAGTTTGAATGGGACGGAGCCAAGGACAGACAGACTCCGCGGAGCCAGTGCAGACCTCCTCCAGCTGGACACAGAACTGCTAACACCACCCCCTGAAGGTTGTCGCTTCCCGGCCCTGACTTCTCCCTCTCTCTCTCTGATACTGTCGTCATCTGCTGTTCAGTCTGCAGCTCTTCCCCGGCTTAGTTCAGTGACAGAGCGAAAAAGGAAAGAGGACAGTTCGTCCCCAGGGTAACGAAGGGGTAACCAGAGGGTCTCTTTTTCGCAGAACAAGGCCCCACAGTCCCCTTCACTGTGGATCTTGCTTTGGTCAGTCTTCTCTCTTTTCAAGAAAGCGTCACCCGGTGTCTCACCTGCCCGGAGACCTGCAGCACCCCTGCCACCCGGCACCTCCCTGTGCCTCTCCTCCCACCCTGGCCTGGGCGGCGAGTCCTTCCCAGGCTCATTGCGAGTCCACACTCAGGCCAACGGCACGGTCCTGCCGTCTGGCGCACAGGACCTGCCGCTGCTGAGTGAGGAGCGACACCCTTTTCACCGTCACTTCCTGACCCTGACGGAGTGGATGGTCATCTTTAGCTCCTCCCATGAAAGTCACGATTCTGCTCAAATTACTCGCATCCAGGCACTGATGTAGACTTCAGGCCAAAGGCCTGGCTTGTGACCATCTTCTGCGTTAATACCAGGCAAATCCTCTGCTATGGTTATTTTTAAACTCAACAATTGTCCTCCTCGACACCTACCATGAACGGACCGCGCCTTCCGTGGGAACCTCGCCCTGCTGGCTTTACCATCCCTGCTGCCATGTGATCGCGTTTCAGCGGTGTTACTCTGCTTCGTCTTTGTGATCTGCTTCCTCAGTTAGACTGTAAGTGTCTGTTTCTAGCCTTCTCGGAGCATGGCAGGGTCGGGCACACAGCGGGACCACAGTGTGAATGGACTGGCTGAAGTCCTCTAACATCGACATCACACAGGTGGGGACGATGCCTTTCGACCCCTTCGTCCTGTGGGTCGGCTCCAGAATCAGCTTTTTTTTTTAACGGAGGGACCGGGGCTTGAACCCAGGACCTCTCACACGCTGAGCTCGTGCCCTATGGCTGAGCTAAACCCCCACCCTGCTCAGGGTCAGCGCTGCTGCTGTCTCCCTGGTGAGTCCCTCTGTGGGCTCTGGGGCCGCTCCCACAGCACCCCCACCCAGGCCGGTGCCCCATTAAGGGTTCAGACGCTGGCTCAGCAGAGTCTGAACTGGGAAGACGGGGTGGCTTCCAGGCTGCTCTGATCTCTCCGTTCCAAACCTCTAGAGTTTGACTTAAAGAGCTCAGCTGGGGCTTTTGGTCACTCTGTCTATCCGACCCGAACAGAAAGGCGTGGCGCCTAGAACAGTCTCTCCAGTGACACCTGCGCGGGTGAGCACTGGGGAGTGCCAGGAGAGGTGCCCTGCTGTTGTCCTGACGCCAACCTCGATTCAGGACAGGAGGTGCAGGGGAAGGGCCAAGATGCCACTAAGACCTCAACTCCGCACCCTGCTCCCCGAGCCGTCTGAGAGGTGCGGCCGTTGCTGGCGTGGGCAGCGGCCAAGGCCAGGGCCAGGGTCCTGGAGGCAGAACTTTGGGCGGAAGGATGCAGCCTCCTCTCCTGGCCTCAGTCGCTCAGCTGAACTCAGGTGGAAATGCTCCGAACCCCACGTCGGGATGGAGGGAGCGCGGAGGGGGGCGTCTCAGGGACACGTCCCAGGACCACCTCAGGGCAGCCTCAGCCCTGTTCCCCCCCTCGGGAGGCCCCTCCCTGCCGCTCCCAGGGCACCGCAGTGCTCGCAGCCCTGGGGCGGCCCCCGGGCTCCTGGAGCCACGCAGACTCCAAGAGGGAGCCCGGGGGCTGCTGAGGCGGTGACGGCAGCGGAAGCGGCCATCCCGCGGGCAAAACTGCGCACTCGTTCCTGCTCCCTGGAGGCTGCTCGACACCTTGTCTCTCCGGGTGGATCATAAACAATGTAAAAACAGGGACCATGACTCAAATTTTTCCCTCGTTACACTGGGTCCTTGAATGGAGCCAAACGTGAATTCACTGTTTGACCTGTTTTTATGAGCTACCCTCAAATCCCATATACTTAAGATCTCAAGGCAAGATCGGTACCTACCAGGGGTCGGAGATCAGGATGCGAGAGGATGTAGCCGTTGTTAGTGTTCAGGAAGGCGTATCCATGCACCCCAAGCTACGGAGACAGGGATGGCGGGGCATCAGACGGCCTCTGTGCTGGGGGGCTCTGGGGCCGCAAGGCGGGGGGCAGCAGCTGGGGGGGTCTGGGGCCGCGAGGGCGGGGAGGGGCGGACAGGCTGGTGGGGTCTGGGCCGTGGGGCGGAGGGCGGCTGGCTCCTCGACAG